TTTTTTTTTTTTTTTTTTTTTTTTAAGGGCCAGAGCTGGGGCAGGTGGGGCAGCCATGGGAGAGCAGGGGGGTCGAGGGCTCATGCAGCACAGGGCAGTGGGGATCAATTTCCCCACCTGGCAGCATCTGGTGAGTCAGGGATTTTTTTTCAAAGTTCTGATGGGCCAGGCAGGGCAGCCATTGCAGGGCTGGGAGAGCACGCAGAGGATGGGCCTGGCCTGGGTGATTCAAAGATTTGGACAAATTGATTTGGGACAGTAATTCAAATCACTGTCCCCCAAATCGGCCAAATCCGAAGCAAATACTAGCCACTTTGCACAGGCCTAGTAAATGATACTGATGTCTCTCAATGAGAGGTGTTGTGTTACTGATTCTTCTACCAGGAAGTATTGTCTGATGACCAGGGATCCTGATTTTCTCTGTTTAAAAACCCAAAATTCTCTGATTAAAAGCCCTAAAACTGGTATTCCCCACAATTAAAATTAAACTCCTCTCCTGTCCTTGAGGGGAGAGAGGGGGAGAGAGAGGGCTGGAAGGGACCTTGGAAGATCATCAAGTCCAGCTCCCTGCCCCAGGGGCAGGAAGTCAGCTAAAGTCAAAGAATCCCAGCAAGATAAGCATCCAGATGTTTCTTAAAAGAGTCTGGAGTAGGTGCCTGCACCACCTCTGGAGGGAGTCTATTCCAGGCCTTGGGGACTCAGACAGTAAAGAAGTTTTCTCCTTACGTCCACCCTAAAACGGTCTTCGAGGAGTTTGTGACAGTTGGACCTTGTCAACCCTTGGGGTGCTCTGGTGAACAGGCATTCCCCCAGATCCTGATGCACACCCCTTATATACTTAGAGGCTACCACCAGGTCACCCCTGAGCCTGCACTTTTCCAGGCTGAAGTGTCCCATGGCTCTCAGCCTCTCTTCATAAGACCTGTTCTTTTGTCCTCTGATCATGTGTGTAGCTCTCCTTTGGACTCTCCCAAGCTTCTCCACATCCTTCTTGAATTGTGGAGCCCAGAATTGGATGCAGTACTCCAGCTGCAGCCTCACCAAGGCTGAGTACAGGAGGAGGATGACATCCTGAGATTTGCTTGAGAAGCATCTATGCAAGCCAGAGTTTGGTTTGCTTTACCTGCTGCGACATCACATTGGTGGTTCATGTTCATCTTGTGGTCAATCATAACCCCCAACTCCCTTTTGGCCGCACTGCTAGGGACATTGCACAGCCGAGCCTATAAGCATGATACAGGTTTTTTTTCTCTGAGGTGGAGTACCTTGCATTTTTCCATATTGAATGTCA